ACTTACATTACAAAAATTTAAAGGTTAATATATAAATAATTTCAATAAATCATAAATAACTCTAAAAGGCTTTAAGATTTCAAAAAATGTTGTATAAGTCATCTTTGACTTGTGAAAAAAAATTATAAAAGTTTAAGCCCATTTGAAGGTTCAAAGCCCAAATCCTAATTCTTAGGTCAATTGGATCCTTCAATTGACCTAAATTTTGTAAAAAATCACTAAAATGAAAGGATTATAAATTTCGACTGAAAGTTTATGTACTTAGTATTGCTTATTAGTTTTAAACTTTAAGATGAATTAGTGGAATATGAAAAATAAAATAAAATATTATCCTTGGATTAGATAGGGGTATTCAAAAAACACTAACAAAAATATTTTTAAGAGTAACATTCAAAATCTTAAGGCTTTAACTGTGCATTAGGAAGCTAATATTATGTGAAAAAAAAAAGTAATTAGTGATATTAAGAATGTAATAAAAATGAGCTTAGAATATGAAAAGAAAAAGACCCTAATAGAAAAAATAATTTGTGGTGGAATCAAAATATGCAAGAAAAAATCGAAAATAAGAAACTTCATTATAAAAATTAATTTGGATATAAAAATTTGAAAGTTTGAGAAAAAGGTAAAGGGCTCATAAGGAATATGAGAAAGTAATATGTGAGGCAAAGAATTTAATTTTAATGATTTATATAATATATTAAATACTAAATAGGGCAAAAGCTGTGTGTATAAGCTAGTCAAACAAAGAGATAAGAAATATAAAGATTTAATTCAAGTGAAGTGCATTAAGGATGAAGACCAAAAAGTGATTTTATTAGTAGAGTATATTCAACAAATGTGAATAAGATATTTCGATAAACTTTTCGATGAAGATTGTGAAAATACGATTGACTTTAGTAACCTTATCACCCTTAATAAAAATAGAGATTTTTTATTTTTATTGCCATATTAGTAAAACCAAAGTTTGAGAGACTTCAAAGAAAATGAAGTGTGGAATTACATTTAAAATACATTTCATTTCTTTTACACTACGGTGCTGTTTGGTTACCTCAAAAAAAAATGCAATGTAAATTAAATACAGCGTAAAGTAAATGCAATGTATTCTGAATACTTTGAGAGTGTTTGGTTGTTTGCAAAATAAACACAGGAGAATTATTTCCCTTGTTTGGTTAGGTAAAACCAGAGTAAAGTAAAAGCGGCTTTTTTATAATAATTTATTTTTACACCTCTAATTTGAGCTTGAGCTTAATAATTAATTATGATGACAAGGACTTCATTTTGGACAACTTTCTTACTGCTTCTTAAAACAACTTTTCAATTTAAAATTTTTAATTTTTACATTTACACTGAAAAATGGCTTTAAGAAGCAATAAAAAAATCATCCCAAACAAAATTTAAGTCATCATTTGGGACAACTTTTTTATTGCTTTCTAAAACAGCTTCTTACTACATAAAATTTTGTTCAAAAAAATTTTGTATCAAAAATTACTTTAAAAAACAATAAGAAAGCTGTCGATAACAAAAGCTAAGGCTTCATTTCGTACAACTTTTTAACTATTTCATTAAGGAATTTTTTTAGTACAAAATTTTTTAAAAGAAAATTCAAAATATCCTCGACATAAATGATAATTTTACTAAAAAAGTTACCAAAATTTCAAAATTTCTTCAGACAAATTAATGCTATAAACTCTCTAACATCGAATATCATCATCTTTAGCTTTAAATTTGCATTAGGTTCATTTTTTTTGTAATTTTACATCAAATAAATGATTTAACTTGTTGATAATGTTTTCCCTAATATATAAAGAGCAAAAAGGTTTCAATATATAGCTCCAAATGTCAATCATGTTTGACTTTTTTAGCTCATAAACTGCATAAATATGGTTCAGTAGTATAGTAAATGTACCAAATGACTTTCCTTATTATTATTTAACATTGAACTTAAATTAGATATGAATAAAATTTGATTGATATTAGAGCAAAAAATTAAAATCTAGCCTAATGTTTGATCTCTTATAATCCTTACACCCTCTTATTTGGTCGCGTGAATCATATTAAAAGTGGATGAATCTCTTAATATATATTAATTTAGAACAACTACATAAATTGCCCCTCACTTAGATTTTTGTTTATAAATAAATTTAGGTGTTTTAAAATTTATACTAAACATATGTTAATTGAGTGTTTTCCCTCAAACTTTTTTCCTTAATATAATAACCCACTTTCAAAGGCACAACATATGGCTTATGATAATAGCTCTCGATCCCCTCCTGCGGTATCGCATCCGCGATAGTAGCTCAGCCCAAGCAGTGGAAAGCATCAACACATACCATGGCTCACCGCCGCAGTCACCTTTGCCGCCAGCCGACGGCGATCCTCCGGCCGGCCTAACGCCGAAGGAATACGAATCCCTCCAATCAACGATCGATGCTCACCACCGATACCATTTAAGCACCGATCAATGCTCCTCCCTGATCTCGCAACGGATCCGGGCTCCGACAGCGACCGTCTGGTCTGTGGTTCGCCGATTCGACCGCCCACAAATATACAAACACTTTATCCGCAGCTGCGCCATTATGGAAGGCGGCGAGGTTCGCATCGGCAGCCTTCGCGAGGTTAGAGTCATCTCCGTCCTTCCTGCGAGCACCAGCACCAAGCGGCTCGACATACTCGACAAAGAACAACGAACAGGCAAACGTAACCTCGTCGAAGGAGCGAACAAGAACGAAGGAGCCCTAGAAGCCTCTCGTGCAATCTTACACCTCGTGCGAAGCAATGAAGCCGAACAGCAACGACGATGATGCGAACTCGAGCTCCCGTCCTTACCTCCGATGAAAATGGCGCAACTTCCGATCAGACAGGCAAAGGGAACGTCGTTTAGAGCTGTCAATTTTTGACACGACCCGAACCCGAACCGGAAAAATCCGGGTTCGGGTCAACCCGAACCCGAAACGGGTCAGGTTTGGGTTCGGGTTGAACAAATCAACACGTTTTAAAAATCGGGTCGGGTTCGGGTTGACCCAGCAACCCGAAATTGACCCGAAAGTGTCACGAAAACTCATATTTGACCCGAAAACCCGAGATTGCCCCGTTTTTGACCCGATTTTGACCCAAAAATCAAATATTGACCAGAAAATTAGCAATTTTAGGTCCAATTCGGGTCGGTCGGGTTGACCCGGACCCAGACCCGAATCGGGTCGG